CAGTATAAGTTTATAGTCAAGTTGAACATTAGATTTCTCTATTTCAAGGAAAGTTAGAAACAATCTGTATCTTTAGTAGAGGCTATGTTCAAAGAACATTTAATCAGTATCCACCCCCACAAATACAGCTGTTGAATTTCTTTGTCTTTTCCTTTTTATGGTAGTCTGAAGGTCAAAGCCAATCTCACCAACAGAAAAAGAAATAGTGCAACTTTAACTTTATCCACAAGGTGTCCTCAGTAGAACATAAAATCTCCTCCCAGACACCAGAAATATCATTAACAAGATCAGAAAACGTAGAAAAAAATAAAGTTCTTCAGATGTAGACAGTCCAATAGTAAATAATATTCAATATTAAAAAGATTTTCCAAGACCCCAAAGTGAATAAAAAATAAAGTAAAAAAGAGAGAAAAAAAGTCACTTTAAATTAATTCAATCCATAAGCTTCTTTTTCCCACACTCACCAACGCCGCCTTCTCAGAGCAGGGAAATGATTTCAAAAGTGCTTTTTACAGGCACACACACACACACGAAAAAAAGGAGAACCAAGAGAGAAAGAAAAAAAAGTCTCACCCGCCTCAGCCACAGTGGTTCCTGTGCTTAGATGTTCTTCTGACTTCTGGTTTCAGCGGCTAGGTGAGCAGCCATTTTACCAGCCGCTCTTTCCACCGTCGGCCCAAAGGAGCAATCTCGGTCCTTGGAAGAAGCTGCCGCTCTCCCAAGGACGAGGACCTCCTCACCGGTAGCCGCCCCTCCCAGGCGGCTTTTCGACCCAATTAAGGGTCTACCAGCAGCAGAGAATCAGCTAGCGAGGGGAGAGCAGTCTCCTCGCACAGCTGCGAGCACCGCAATCCGGAACTGGAAGTCCTATTAATTTCAAACTTAATCATAGCTCTAACTGTTGGGATTCCAACAACTGGGATTACAATAAAATCAGATTTTGATGTATCTGAAACCACAAACCTTTTTTTTTTTAGAATTTAACTGTTCTGTTATTTTTGGAATATTGCAAACTTATAAAATCCTTCCATTTTCCCCCATTTTATTTCTACTTTATTGTAAAAAGAATATAAATGGTTGAATGGGTGATGGATTTGCAGTTAATTTATGGGTCCATCTTTCCCAAATTTTGAACACATTCAGAAATGGATTTCAAGTATGTTTCAGTATTTTATTAATATTTTTGGAGAAGTGCCCTAATGTTCGCTAATGATATATATAAATCCATAAAGGATATGTTATTCATTATCCATAATGTTAATTTTTTTAATATTTTATCAAACAAAATAAGGTTTTCATATGGCTAGCATCAAAATAAGATTTCATATTTGGGATACCAAGACCTCATTTACCTCTTTTATATACAATCTTTGTATTTATTTTTCTTCCTGGACAAATATTCCTGCGTTTATTAGTCTACCACCTTTAATAGAGCCAGTTATTGTCTACTGATAGATTAGAAAGAAAGAATTAAACTTTACTTTATTGCTTGAATTCATCTCATTTCTTTAAGTGCTTTCATTTTCTTTTTCACTATATGCTCTTTTATTGTAAATGTACTTATTTAATAGAGCCCTTCTTATATATTTCAAAATGCTAATGAGTTTGGTAGAAAAATAATGAAGATTCCGAATATAAATTCATTCATTCATTTATTCATTTAACAAAAGTATATAGTTGTTCTGGACAATTATATAAATTTATAAAAGCTAGTTAAATGTATTACATAGCTACTCTGGACAGCAAAATGTAACACACAATCAGATGAATGAACATTAAATTGAGGCCATCATTTAAAAAAACATCTTACTGTAATGTCCCACCACCCCTCATATATGCTAAGCTCCATTAATATCCCAACCACAGTGTCTGAGGTTATGGTCTTCACGGGTCTTCATAACACTCTGGAAGGTCAAAAAGGATGGTGCCATCTGAATTTTTTTGGGGGGGAGAGATGTTTCCTAAGGCAGGAGCCCTATGCAGGTAGAGACACTTTTTGGATGCACCAGAAATTACTGTTCACTGAGGAGACCCATAGCATGCCCATGCTAGATCTACTGGGCAGGCAGAAATCAATGGAGATGGACAGTCCAAGTAACCTGGCCCCATGCCATAAAGGGCTTTAAAATTGACAGCATACACCTTGAAAGGTATCTAGAAGCCTACTGGGAGCTACTATAGTTCATATAGCGATGGTGATATATAAGCATATCATAGTGCATCCAATACTGCAGTGCTGCTGCAATTCTAGATCTGTCAAAACTTTTGAATATTCTTCAAGGACAGTTCTGTGTAGACTACATTACAAAGGTCCAAACAAGAGGCGATTAGGGCATACATGACTGTAAGCAGTGCCCCCTGGTGTAGGCATGGGTGCAACTAGTGCACAAGATGCATTTATAACACCTCAAAAAAGCATCCACCTGCTCCTCCAGGAAACACAAGGAGCAGGTAGCAACTGTAGTCTGGAGGAGAGTTTGCACAAATACACCTTTGTGTGAGTTGCATTAATTCCTGTGACTATCATCAGAAAAATAACTCCTTCAGTTAAAAAACAGTTGGCTTCAACGTTAAATACTAAACAATCGGGTGGAAGGTCTTGCTTTGATTTCCCTCTGCAACAGTCTGTATACATCATCTCCAGCTCAATTACAGGTGGTTCTCAATTTATAAACACAACCGGGACCAGAATTTCAGTTGCTAAGCAAGTTGGTTGTTAAGTGACTCAAGCCAAATTTTACAACCTTTTTGCCCCAGTTGTTAAGAGAATTACTGCAGTTGTTAATGATTCATGTTCATTGACTTGTTAAGCAAATCTGTCTTGCCCCATTGACTGTGATTCTCAGAAGCTGGCTGGGAAGGTCGCAGATGGTGATCACATGACCCCTGAATGCTGCAATTATTGTAAATACATCCTGATAACCAAGCATCTGAATTTTAATCATTTGGCTGTGGAGATGCTACAATAGTCGTAAGTGTGAGGACCTGCCATAAGTCGCCTTTTTCAATGCCACTGTAACTTGGAACAGTCACTAAACAAATAGTTGTGAGTTGAGGACTATTGTATGCAAATCAACAGATTTATGCAACAGAAATTAACCTGAAAAATTGGGATTAATATACAATTCTTTGAGTCTCAGTTACACTGTGCTTGTAAACTTCTTTTCTGATAAACTATAGTTAAAGAACACCAGCTATCAAGTCTCTGTCTTGACTCATTACATGTGTGATTTGACTATTCCATTTAAAAGTCACCATGCTGTAGTGCAGGCATGTCAAACTTGCAACGTCACATGACGTCGCATGACGTATTGCGACTTTTCCCCCATTGCCGGCAATAGGGTGGGCGCAGTTTCGGCATGACGCATTCGGCCTGTGGGCTGGCAATTTGACATGCCTGCTGTAGTACAATGTGGTCTTATTTAAATATTGTTACCAAATAACCACTAAATTGTTGATTTACAAAAGAAACAGTACCACTTTACTTCACAACTGAACTGGGCATAGCTAAAATGGAGACACACAAGCAAAAATACATTTTTGTTAATGCCCAACAGAAAGCACAATGTAATGCACATACTTAATTTACAAGATTCAACTTGCACAATAAAACAGAAGACTTTATTTACATATTGACAAGGGACATATCAAGGAAAGGCAATAATTTTGATAATGGTTTTGCTACTACTGGTTTATAAGTACTAAACTCTTTCATCATGATCATCTCAATCTAATCTGGAGCTTGATCTCAGACTTCTGAGGATGGTAACTTTAAATACAATTTTGACACTCAAGAATTCTGTTCCTAAAAACAGATGCCCAAGATCACGGGTGTCAAACTCGCCGCATCACGTGACATGTCGCAACGTATCATGACTTTTTCCCCTTGGTGCTGGAGTGGGTGTGGCTTCCATGTGACGCATCCGGCCCGCGGGCTGACAGTTTGATACCCCTGCCCTAGATGATAGTCTTACATTTTACAGTAAACAGAGCATATACACACATATAAAGACATCTGCTAACAAATAAATACAACTTGTTAAAAGTCACCACTAAAATAAATTAGGGGAGGGGGAAATGTGCACTTCCTACTTATGACTAGGCTTCAAGCTTATTAAAATCAAATGTCTTTAAAAATATTTTTTATTATGTAACAGTCACTTGAGTGATCTGAAAATTACAGTATTTACAAACTACTAATTAAAGAAGGCTTCACACATGACAGCTTCCTACATACAGGAAAACTACAAGCTCCATATGGTTCTTGCATAACAGCAAGGAAATAAATGCATCTTTGATAGTTTCGCCATTTGCTTATAGAACAGTGGTTCTCAACCTGTGGGTCGGGACCCCATTTGGGTCAAACGACCATTTCACGGGGGTCACCAAACAACGCAGTCTGCCATTCCCCCCCCCCTTTTCCTTAGCTGTGCTACTCCCTTTTATTCTATTGGCTTTTGAAAGCCAATAGAATAGACTCTCTTGAATAGAGTCTAATTCTATTGGCTTTCAAAAGCCAATAGGAATTGTTCAGGCTGTCTCTGCCCTGCTGAGCCCGCCAAAAGTCCCATCTGCAAACGGTGCTGCACCAGTTGAGTAGTCCTCGACTTACGACTGGTTGGGGGTCACGGCATTAAAAAGGTTGAGAACCACTGTTATAGAAAGATAAGATAATATTGTTTCAAACTGGCTTGTTGGCAAAGGCTTCTACAGTATGTAAATATGGTAAAATAGTTATCTATACAATCACACTGAATTAGTAGTAAAGCTACAATTGTTGCCTGGGAGTAAGTCCCACAAAACACAATCAAACGTATTTTCACTCAAAGCACAATTGCACTATATAAAACTTTATATAGACACATAGTAAGAAAAAAAAGAAATGAGTAATATTTTGAAAACTTATTCATTTTACAGAAAAGAACTTTTTAGATTGTCAGGTCAAGTTAGCACAAGGAAATAAGCACACAGTTGTGCCTAAATCTGTAAACTGCAAAGTTTAAGGCACATATTTTATTAGTGCACAATTTTTAACTATTCTTTAAGGCTAATTATATAGAGGTATTTTAAAAGAATTGGCATTTCTTTTTAGAAATGTTTTAGAAGTTTCTATACTGTTGCATCCATTGTATGCATCTTCAAAGCATTATAGAATGATCAAAGAACAGGTAATGAACTATCCCAACTGGGACATCCGTAAGCAAGTGGCTGAAAGAAAATTGCTGGAAGATATTGGGTGATTTCCTTGTTAAACTAGGTTAGGCATATTATGCAGTTAAATTTTCAATTTGAGTGTTTCTTATTTAGAATCCTGGGAAAATGCTGCTGATTTTTAGCAACACTTATGAAAACAAACTTTGGGGGCCACAAAACCAGGCCTGGAGCCATTGATTGTCCTTTCCTTTAACTGGGTAAATAATAAAGTATTACTTAGGGAAAGTGTATGCATAATCTCACCCTTCAACAAATAAAAATCCAAGTCACAGTTATATTTCTGAAACTGCCAGCAAAAATCAAATAAAACAGAAATATACACATCATTGTTTTCAACAGAAGCAATTTATACATTCATCTATGAAAACCTGTCAAGTATGATGCTTGGTAGAAATCAGCCCTTAATACTGTTTTTTTTCCTTTAAAAAACTGAACAGAACAAAAAAGAAATCATGAGGTCCCTAATCTGGTATTGGCAAATCCCTAATCTGATGTTAATTTTTTTTTAAAAAAAGTCAAAAATGGCTTAAGAATCTGTTCATGATGCTTTGAACACTCATTAACAGAAGTTTGGCAACAATTCTAGTCCTCAAGGCTGCAGAGGTAGAAAAGAGGGTGGTAATCATGTCCTTTGGGGTCTGGACCACCAGACAAATTCCTAGAGCTTTCATAAGGTGTCTGTACTATTTACTAATACATTCTAATACTGAAAGGAGCATCAAGCGATTAGTGCAGATACTTTACCGTTAATATACGTCAAGACTTATTCCTCTAACTCCTGGAACTTTCTCAGCGGATTCCCAGTTTAGAGCAACTAGAAAGTCTTTGGCCATCAGAAAAGGTCTACATAGAAGGAGTTGTGACGGGAGTCCACGTGGAGGCAAGTCTAGCATGCACTGAGGCATCATACTGACTGTCAGCAATATCTGTGGGTGTCCCATTGTCATAGAGGGGAGAGCCCGAAGAAGTCGTAGCGACGGAATGAGGAAGTGTGGGGTAGTGCGTTGTAGAGCCTCGCAAAAACTGGGGTCCTATCCCACTGGACATTCCGCCTGACTGTGAAACGGGTGAGATGGTGCTGTTGCTCACAGACCACAAATTGGGATATTGGCTACAAGAGGAAAAAAAAAAACCACAGGTTTTCCATTTGTAGAAAGGTAGCCTCATTAGCGAAAGGCTAAGTAACTTAACATATCATATACTTTTGCAAACTATGGCTCACCTCATTAGACACACTATTCTAAAGATAGAATTTATCAACATCAACCTATTTGGGAGTAGGGGAGGAAGTAATATATGCATTCGAGTCAGGCACTGACAGGATGGAAACAAGAGAGATAAACCTCCTTAGTTCAAGTGTGTATTTACCTGGATCATGCAGTTAGTATATAGCAATATTACTTAACTTATATACCGCTTCAGAGTGCTTTATAGCAGTTTACAAGGTCAGCAAATTGCCCCCGACAATCTGGGTCCTTATTTTATCGACCCCAGAAGGATGGAAGACTGTGTCAACCTTCAAACATGCAAATTTATAATGCACATAAATCAGTGTTTCTCAACCTTGACAATTTTAAGGCATGTGGACTTCAACTCCCAGAATTCCACAGCCAGCATTGCTGGCTGTGGAATTCTGGGAGTTGAAGTCCACATGCCTTAAAATTGTCAAGGTTGAGAAACACTGACATAAATGCTGCCACCTGACTCCAAATCACCTTTTTGGCTTCAGAGGAAAAGATATGGCAAATCCCTCATTAGGAGAAGTATTAAGGTTTTTGGAAGGCATGTCGCAATTTGTTATTTAATACTGAGTCGGACTGGTCTCAATATAGGTTCATGAGTCTCTCTCCAATCTCAGATGCACAAGATGCCCTTAAGCAGCCTATTTACTTAACTTCCATTCACCAGCTACTAAAATGGAACTATTTATAAAGTTAAGCCCAAAATCCAGCAGGATTTAAAAAAAAAAAAAAAACCCTCACCAGTATAGGAATTGGAAAATTATATCAAATCCATTTTTTTTACTGTGGTCATAAACTAGCAGATTATAAATACTTGTTAATGATTCCTCACTTCAATGACTAGCATGAAGCAACGTTCTTACACAATGGCAGAAACTTTAGTTTGTAAAAGGAAGAAAGTATTTTAGGGAACTTTGCACTTGGTGATTTCCTGCAGATTAAAGATGTGTTACCATATAAGACAGGTTTGTTTACATAAAATTTCTTCAGAATCCTGTGAATTGCCATAGCATGCAAATGCCTGCTGCTGTTAGGTGGAGTCTTTCCCTAATAATATTTTTTTACTATCCTAGTATTTATTTATTTAGTAAATTTATATGGCCACCCATCTCACTGAATCGGGGCAACATTTCATAAACTCCATAATAAAAGACCTATTACATCCAAGCTTCTTAAGCAATTTTTTTTTTTAAAAAAAATGGCCATCAGCATCAGGAGACAGAGAAATTAAAAAAGCAAGATAGCAAGCCTAGTGCAAACCCTATTTCCTTGGATTTGCAAGAAGTAGAATTGGCATCCAGAATCTTGTCTTTACTGACCTCTGTTATGGATGCTAAGGAGGTGTACATTTGCATCTTACTAGCCTTTTTTATATATACCAATCTCTTCTCCCCCCCCCCTTTAAGTCAGGGATGGCTGTAGATGGAACTAGTGATATAATTTTACACTATTTTTCAGTGGAAAGTGTGTTGGCTCATACTCTCCAAAGGGAGGGAGTTAAGAGACTCAAAACTTTGGTTTTCAATAATGTTGTTAAGTCACTGATCTCCTCCAATACGCATATAAAAGGAAATAACAGACGAAGTGAAAAATAATTTTCACCTATAGCAACAAAGAGGGGCGGCACAGTGGCTAAGACACTGGGCTTGTTGGCTGGAAAGCCGGCAGCCCAGATTTGAGACCCAAGCTCCACGCGATGGGGTGAGCTCTCTTCTTTGCCCCAGTACTTGCCAACCTAGCAGTTTGAAAGCATATAAGTAGATAAATAGGTACCACTTTGGTGGGAAGCTAACAGCATTCAGTGGTATCATGCTGGCCACATGACCACGGAAATGTTTTCGGTCAGCACTAGCTCAATGCCCTTGAAACAGAGATGAGGACTGCCCTTTATAATTGGCAATGATTAGCAGAGTAAAATCCACAGGACTCCTTTACCTTTATAGCAAAGTGGCTAGTATGTCACACGCTAGCTGTTATCCTATTCTTGCAGATAAAGAACAGAACCACCCCTGCATAAAACATACTATACAAACAGTATTTGTGCACAAAGTATAGTTATATTGGGGGTGAGGGAGTCTCCTCCGTGGGACCCGTGTAGAAATAGATCTACTTTTTCACAAGAGGACTTCCTCGTTCATAGAAGAGGGCTTACCTGGAGCTGGTTGGTGGACCGCTACTGTGATTCATAGGCAACATACTTGTTGGAGTTGGAACTCCTAAGCTGGACCAATTATCGTGGCTTTGGAGCATAGAAAGGCATGCTGAAGAACTATCTCCATAGGGTGCTGCAAAAGCAAGCATTTTGTGTAAGAACATTACATACTTTCAAGTACAATACCTAAATATGACCTTCATCAGTATAACTGAATTCATTAGGAACTGTTAGAATGTATTTGCATTTTCAGCAATGATATAAGGATATTTAAAAATACTGCATTTTGTTCTATATAAATATCCAATCATTTTGCAATCATATGAGTATAGACCCATAGCAGGGATAAATTCTGTATATTTAGCCTACAAAGTTTCAATGAAGCAGGGACATATCAACTTTTCAAAAGAAACATGTAACCTTCTTAGCCTTTTTTTGAGTCATTACTCTATATATCAGGTTTGAAAGAAATGAGCAAAATATCATTTTCACACCACCAAAATCCAAGTTCTTTTTATAAACAGAAATAGATTATAAGATAAAAATGTCTTTAAAAAATAAACGATCTGTTGCAGGCATCTGAAATAAGAAGAAATTGCTCTCTTAGAGCTCTTTCAGAGAGCCATGATGGTGCAGTGGTTAGAATGCAGTATTGCAGGCTAACTCTGCCAACTGCCAGCAGTTTGATCCTGACTGGCTCAAGATTGACTCAGATTGTTCAGGGTAATATGCTGACTCTGCAAACCACTTAAGAGAGGACTGTAAAGCACTATGAAGTCTAAGTGCTATTGCTATTGCTAAGTAGCTCAAAACCAAGTATGTAGTTTTAGATTTACCTCAGATTCACCTTTCTTACAATCACCTAGCTGGAAATTTTAAGATTTATTAGGCAGCTAGGCTCTCTAAAACTGCTAATGAAACTGACTGCATACTGTAATTGAAAACATTATATAGTCTTTATGGAATGATGAATTGTGTGTGAAAATCAAGAGGTTTGCCTCTTTTTATTAAATCCCAGTGCCATAAAGATGAAATCAACTGAATCATCATAACAGGCCAGGTTCTCAAAAAAATCTGATTTTAAATAAGATTGAAGTCTTTTACTGCAAAGACTCTCAATAAAATGATCTATCCATTATTAATAGTGCACTCTTTTGTAGACTATTCAAAACATTTAACAATTATTTGAAGAAGGTATTTTAAAAAAACAAAACTTTACTTTTACTTTTCTGAGTAAAAATGCCATGAGTCAGATGGTTAATGAAATCTCATTTCTGTCATTCTCAAGAGATGTTACAATTCCTACAGTTGATTAAGATAAATAATCTATCCCTCCCTCCCTCCTTCCAATCCATCCATCCATCCGTCTGTCCATCCATTCATCCATCAATCCATCCATCCATCTATCATCATCATCTATTATCATCATCTATCTACCTCAGCTTCATCTATCTACCTCAGCTTGAATTAATCCATTGCAGGATTGAAGATTGCATATGCACTATAATCTATATGCTGGTCAAAAGCAGTTTGTATAAATGTTTTCCAACCTCTCAATCTAAAGCTAAAAGAGGATGACTGGCCCAAAGTAGCCAGACAGCTTTCATGAGCATTAGAACCTAAGTCTTCTGCTGCTAATTTAGCATTTTAACTGCTATACCACATTAAATCAGATTTTGATCTAGCCTTTACCACCCAGGACTAAACTAATGGTCCTACAGATGTTGCTGAATTACAACTTCTAAGGCTCCAGATATAATAATCTACAGTGGGGGACAGATTTGTAGTTTAAGACTTGGGGGGGGGGTTGTCACAGATTCCACACTTCTGCTATATATTCACATTGATATCTATTAGTATCGTATGATATCAAACAACTGTAGTACAGTATAAAGTACTTACTTGGAGAATTGGTTCTATGTGTATATGGATTTGGATAAGGGGCAGGTCGGTGATTTCTTAACGACGAATACCTTTCACAACTGTGAGCAGGAGACAGTGAAAGAGATGTGCCAAACTGGGAATGAGGACTGGCAGGAGGACAAAGAGTCCCTGTTCCAGGAATTAGCCAACCACCTACTGTAAAAAGATGAATAATATCATTTTGGCAATATACAGCAGGATTATTTGTCCAAGATGACAGCAGCTTGTTTGCACAAATCAACCCTAGAATGTAAAATCTATTTTTAACTCACACTTAAACAATAAAAATAGATTGCAAGCTCTTCTTGTCTCTCCCAGTAACTTATGGCTATAAATAGCTTTGTTCTGGCACAATTATGGCACATTTACCCATCAGTGCTGACCAATGGTGTGCCATAAATGAAACATTGTGACAACAACATTCCTACACATTAAAGCAAGAAAACAGGAGCACCATCAGGAATACTCTCAAATCATGAACATAAGATTTTTATAACCTCATATCTCTTATTTGCTATATCATAATCTGGGAGGTAATCTTTTGCATCTAATAGCTTTGAAGAAGCAATGTGAGAACAGCAAAATATCCAAGTAAACATATATTTGAATAAGTGGTAGTCATAGATCTCTGTGGAGAAAAGAGTGGGAGAATGACAAAATCTGTGTCATGATATAAACCATCTTAGTTATACTCTGCATTGAACTTTACTATATTGGTATGAAAGATGGGGAAATGAGCCTGTCAGGTTAGACTTTATCTTCTGTCATTTTTTTATATCATTGTGATTACAGGGGAGCTATTCAGACAGCAGCACAGTAATACTCAAACTGTGAAACTCAGATAAAGGGAAGGGTTCTGCTAATATTTCTAATTAACCTAATCAAGCTTCTGATCTTCTTCAAAACTTTGTGCTGTTTCCAGCAATCCCTGTCTCAAAGATTATTGAACTCTGTCTGAAAAACAACAGTGAGATTTCAGCAGGGATATTCCAGACTTTGCATGGATTGATACATTTGACCAATTGATTGATATACTTGAACAAATGAAATAGATTATAAATACCAAATTACCCAGGGTTTTTTCTTATTCCACTTAATTTCAATACTAGAGACACACAAAAAAAAGATGGCTAATATTTTAGGTGCTTTAAGCAAATAGCTTTTCTACATTTTTAAGTGTGAAATCCTGTTTTTGAAATGAGACACAGGTAGTCCTCAACATACGACCAGAATTGAGTCCAAAATTTCTGTTGCTAAGTGAAACATTTGTTCAGTAAGTTTTGCTCCATTTTACGACCTTTCTTGCCACAGTTGCTAAGTTAGTAACACGGTTGTGAAGTGAACCTGGCTTCCCCTTTGACTTTGCTTGTCAGAAGGTCGCAAAAGGAGATCACATGACCTCGGGACACTGCAGCCATCATAAGTATGAACCAGTTGCCAAGAGTTCAAATGTTGATCATGTGACGGGGGGGGGGTTGCTGCAATGGCCATGAAGTGTGAAAAACGGTCATAAATTACTTTTTAGTGCCAAACAGTCCATAAATGAATGGTTGTAAGTCAAGGACTACCTGTACTATGCACATGAGGAAAACTGTAGAAGGTGAGTTTCTACAATTCCAGGTCACACCTTTAGTCCACATCACGTGGTATTTTCAACCCTGATTAGTGGTGGTTTTCCCCAAGTTAGCAGGAATCTTTTGAATTCTACTTGGAAATGACCGTAACTGAACCAGGGTCCTGCTGCACTCAAAATATATATTCAACTGCTGTGCTCTGAGCCCATTAAAAGCAGAGTACATTTCGCTGCTTAATTATCAGATACCCTACAACAGTGCTTCTCAACCTTGGCAATTTTAAGTGAGGTGCTGACTGAGGAATTCTGGGAATTGAAGTCTACCCAGTTTAACGTTGCCAAGGTTGAGAAGCGCTGCCCTAAAATATCTAGAAATCCAGGAATGTGGAATCTTCCAAGGTAGAGCACATTCTTTCGCCTCTGATCATTTTTTTCTTCTGTTTGTTCAATGCAGGTTCTTCTTCATTCTCAATGTTCAGTAACAGAAACAGGTCAAGAACTTTAATAGTGTTTACAGTCTTTGGCATCAGGACTGTAAAATTATAATACCAGTTGTCAGTATATTGCAGTACACATTTTAAAAAAAAGAAAAAGAAAGAAAGCCTTCTAAACTGTTGGTGAAGATTATATTTTATGAAATATACATTCATGCATTTTATATTCACAAATAATGTTTTTAACTACATAACAAAATAGAAGTGATAGTGGAACAAAACTGCTTTGAGATTTTTTTTCATATGGCAATGGTGTAACAAAAATATAACATAACTTTCAGAAGAGAGTTTAGACATACATTGTGAATATTGTGATTGCTGACCGTCTCCCACTTCATCCATCATGTCTTTGTGATCACTTCTGTCAAAGAAACACAATTCATTAGCAAAAATATTAAACCGCCTAATGAAATGCAATCTTAAATGCAATTAAAAGCAAACAACAGCTCTCACCTTTCTTTTGCATCCAGGAAAGCTTTTGCAAAGGGGTTATATTTTATCTTTAATGCTGTTATCTACAAAAAATGGAAGAAAATATTTCAAATTCAAATGTAATTTTAATTATTTTGTTGTTAATTGAAAAGATAATTCAGCAGCATTACTTGCTAATTCCATTAAGGTTTTTGCAATTGATTCTGGTGGGGAAAAGCCCAGAATAAAATTATTAAAACTACTAAGACTGCAAGAGCATGCTTTGAAATCCTCTACAATGTCCCCTCTTTGCCTTGCTAAGATGCCTGGTTTTATTATCCTATTAAGGAAGTACATAAAAGGGACGTAGGGTGGAGGGAGGATACACTAAAAACAGTTATAAAAAGTGTCAGGTTCCGGGTAAAAAGAGGGGATAATATATTGGAAGAACAAATGATTATTTTATTAAGAAATGAGCTATTGTTTCAGCATGGAGAATTTAAATACGAAAGATTTATATCATAGTTCTACCCATTGTTCAATGAAATAGAGACATCCTAAAAACTTTGAAACAATGATGTATAAACTACTTAACTACTTGCTGGACTTTAGCTTGCTATACATTAATATGATTTTTAAAAATTAATTAGTAATCATTAGCACTTAGCTAATTTAGCATAAACACTTAACCTCATTACAATTCATCATGTAGGCTTCAACTTGAAAGTTGAAGGAAATTTATTTCTCTCTCTGGAGGACCTAAACATTTATTCAGAATTTATTAAAGCATAATGAGGTATAATGCTTAGCCCTTTACATGTTTTGACAGACTCAAAGTGAGCAGTAATAAACATTAGAAGCTAACACAGACATAAAATAGCAGATAGAAAAAAGAGTTTTACAAAAAAAATAATGGTTATTATTTTTATAGGAAAGTCACAACATGACAAAGAATAAGTTCAGATAGGTATATCTACGCAGTACTCCTATTACTTCACTGATATTTATATATCAACTGATTAGGACAATTCAAGTATATGCTTAAAATGTAGATTTTAAACAATCTTTCAATTTGTATATTATGATAAATTGCTTAGTGCTGTCAATAATCAAGGCTGTTTGGATTCAAAGTAGTTTTTTAAAAATGATTTGCATAATACAGCTATTTTCTACATTAAATAATGACAACATGTACTAAAAATCAATACACCTTCATTAACTTTTCATCAGACTCATTGAGTAAGCTCAGATCCTGGTCCTGTATAAATCTTCTTGGAAATCAACTCCATATAATCCAATGGTGTTAAGTTGCAATTAAAGAGTGCTCAGTAATATAAACAAAATAAAGAGGTGATTACTGATAAAGTCTTGACGTTAATTGAAACATTTTCCACACAAGCAAAAATATCAGACAACCTCTTCTTTTTTTTTTAACTCAAAGAGCGAGATGCTTCTAGTTGAAAAAAAAATCACTTAATATTCTCCTGAAAGTATAACAAAAGTAGTTTTTTTTTAAAATGGCCAAAATAAACCAGTTAACATAGAATTGTATCTACCTTATTTCATTGCTAAGAACTTTTTATGCTTAAGACATTTTCTCCTACTTTCTAGAAATTCCATTTCCTTTCTTTTTTTAAGTATTCACTGGAAGTGAACAATTACTACATCTCCTTTGTAGCATCTTTTAAAATTCTTGTAAACAGCATACCCCTAATTTTAACATCCCCCTTTCTCACTCCAAGTCCCTTTACTACTTTGAAGGAGAGCAATCCATGCAGGCTCTTCCACACTTTATGCCTACCTCTTCGTTCTGGTAAGCTGTCACAGCTATAAACTGTGTCTCCGGGAAGGAATGGCTGGTGATCATTCGCTGAGGGCCGCCAACTCTCACTATGTGAATCCTAGGCTCATACTTGTGCAAGGAGTTCAACATGATCTGTTGGTGTAAGAACAATAGAAACAAGCACTGAAAGAGTGATAAACCCTATTCTGAGACTGCAACACCAACTATAGCAGTAATTTTTAATAAGAAGAGAAGAAATTTGCTAACTTAAATCTAAAACAAAAAGCAAAGGTAAGAGTCCAGACCTCAGTGGCCATTTTACCTTTTGTCTTTCCAGATGAACAATCAAAGCAGGAGCATTTTATTTACACTTACTTTTCAATTTTATCCAAGGTAGGAAAGTAACGTTACTAGCTTTGAAATGAACTAAGACATTAAATCATTAAAAATTGATTTATTAGCTTGGATTATTTCAAAACTGATAACTACATTTTGCCAAACTCTAATTAAATGTTTATAACTTGATTTTCATCTTTCGTTATTAAGGGAGGAATGAAAGGGTTCCATGCAGAGCTTTATTCATTTCTCAGAAAGCAAGTTATTATTATCTAGACATAATCAATATTACCCAATAAAAACTACCACTGCAAGATTTTATAAACTGACCAGAGTACAAAATACCCACAAAACTGATCCATGTTTTCCTAGTAAAAATAAGGGAAACTCCTTTTTTACTGGGTTCCTTAATGACTGTCATATCATAATTGCAAAAACATTCATTCAATAAAGGAAATATTAGCTTTTGGAATCTCATCAGAACCAAAGATATGTTAATAACAACAAAATATAACCAACCAAGGCCCTTTTGGTACATATACCACCATATAGGATTCTTTTTAAAGATTTTTTTTATCCAACATTATTTTTATAAGTAACGCAAGGTGCCAAACATACCTAATACTCTTTTCTCCTCCTATTTTCCCCATAACAACCCTGTGAAGAGAGCTGGGCTGAGAGAAAGTGATAAGAAAGACCAGCTGGCTTTCATGCCTCAGGCAGAATTAGAACTCACAGTCTCCTAGTTAATAGCCTAGTGTGTTAACTTAAAGGTTTCATTTTTTTTTCTTTTATACGAAACTTAAAATACTGAAAATGCATTGTTAGATGATGCTAAAAATAATAATAATTGGAGAACAACAGTAATCGGTAATCTTGGTTAAAGGGAAGACAATGGTTCCTCTGTAATTAAAACTTTAACTTCTAACTTTGTTTAACTAGCACAGTACATGGCATATTTATGCCCAATACTGGAACAAACATCAATCAAACTATACAGGTTACCCATTAGGTATCTCATTTTACTGTCAGATTAAAAATTTTGCTAATATATATTATGCTATCAAAAATAGAAAACCATGCTGAAAAAAATATACATTTGTACTACAATATACAGCTATAAACATTTCTAAAATTAGTGATCAGCATGCTATTTAACTATATTTCGTGCCCATTTCAGATATATAGAATGGTTTACATAAAAAACTTTCTTTATAACTAGTTTACATAAATTACAGAAGCTAAAGCAATCGTGGTACAGATTATCACATTATTCATTATAATAAGTGACTTGAAAAATGTATCTGCAAATTTATTGAAACTTTCATGCTGCCAGATTGGATGCTAACCTGTCATTTTTCTTCCTAAAAAAATCCAGTTATTAGCCACTGAAATATTTACATAAGAGTTTCACATGAATAACTTTCCATGCCTGGCATATCTCTGTCGAGAGAAGGCAATGAACAGAATAATAGCTATTAACATGCCCTATCATCACAACAATAAATGAATATGAATTGGGCAATGAAAATATACTTTGACATTTCCAAAATTTCACTAGCTGATGGTCCTACAATTCACTTTTTTCTGTGCACAAAGAGAAATTTATGAATAAAATTAACATTTAAGATTTGCTCAACAGTCATATATTCTGTTGCTGCCATTATTACATATCACTATATTACCCCCAAGCTCTTAGCAAACTGGCCCTAGATTATTACTTTGGTTAGTCTTTATGTAGCTTGTAAATATGCTAAGAATGGTGCATGTCACACATCACTTTCTCCAAATTGTCTTGAGATAACACCCTAGGTCTAAGCATGTTGACTGTTCCAGAATGTTGACAATAATATGCAGTGCTAGATTTTGTACCCAACCATTGCATCCATTTTCTGCATTAATATTTTAAAAAAAAACTCTGTAGGAAACTACAGAGGATTCCTCTGTGACTGATTTTGTCCTATAAAAATACAATTTGAATAGAATATCCCTCCAATCCAGAACAGAAGACAAATTTTATTAAAATATTTTACATCCATGCCTTTTATTCTTATGGAGTTCCCAAGAAAATTTGTGCTATATGAGTTACAGCTGCTGTGCATTACACTGCCACACAGACTTCACAAGACTCTAATCCAAAATTTAATTTAGTAGCAGATATTAACAGTTCCAGCATTCAGGATTGACACAAGGTATCTGGTGCTTGAAAAAAAAAGTCTAAATTTCCATGAAAAATAATAAACAAAATAATTATAAATCATTGCGTTTAAATAAAATTAATTGCTGAGGACAGGCTATTTCACTCTTCTTAATTATAGGACTAGAACTAGGTACCTGCCTCCAAATAGGTTAAATCAGGATATACTCCAATTTACCTTACAAATCACTGTTCCTGTTGTTTTGGGATAAATGATAAGTTTTTTTAATACACAAGTGTATCTACAAAAGTGAGTTTGTAGATGCCAATTCTCTGGGTCCCAAATATACAAATAGCTGAGACTGTGTTTCATTCTAAGAGATGGATACAAACACACATTGCCAGTACATTATCTTTTGACCCACCTCCAAATTCTTATTATGTATTTGTTGCTGCATGCTGTTTCAGTTCCTAACACATCAGAATCTGGGTTTTAAATGTTCTTAAAATTATAGGTTATGTCAGAAATTAATGATTACAGTTTAAGTAACACAGACAGAAGCTTCAGAACATTTAAAGCTATCTTAGATGACAGTTCACTTCAACAGTCAATGCAATGTCCTATACTGGCCGATGAATAATACTTAATACCTCTGATGGACATACAGATGTTTATGCCACACTAAAATATGTCCAATGCTTCAAGGAATACTAGTTTTGGATTTCTTTTTCTGCTTAAAGACATTATTACCTTCTTGCAAATTGTGCATGTACATATTTGTAAGCATGAATCTATCTTGGAGCTCCAGATGAAAATATTGCAATCAATTTCAGATCCCTAGGACTGTGTGCAAAGCAACTGGCCTTGCAGGCAACTACCCAAATATGAAAAAATTACCAGAGTGTCTATAAAAATCCAGACTACAGAGCCCAGGACACAAGAACAAAACACATTTTTTGGAATCTCCTCCAGGCCGCACATTTCATTACACAGAATAAAGCAGCTAAACTGGGTTTCCTAAGTTGCTTTCCTGTGCAAGGCAGGGAAGAGGATACTCAAAAAGCAGCCAAAAGGGTTAACGGCAAGGAGATGGCATCTCTGTAAAATATTTTCCAGATTCCTAAACTGAAAAATAAAAAGCGGCTGAAGCCCTAAGAATGCCTATTGAAGAGGCAACTCTCTGGAACCCACTGACATCAAAGATGTTTTCAGAAGGCGCGTACAACGGTACAGGCTACTTACTATACATTCGACCTTCATTTTTTCTGCAGAATCCTATGGAGTGAACTGTACCTGCGGCCTTGCTCCTTCTCTGCCCCCAGCCCGTTATTTCTGGATGCCCACTCCTGTCTGCAGGAATACTTTTTTTCCCATCTCCACGCGCACCCTCCTCACCTGGCCTCCCCCGTTGAGCTTATTGGTGAGCTTGACCTTACTGAAGGACACGGGCGCCTTCATCCAGTGGGCGCCAAAATTGGGCGAATCCGGGTGGATGTAGACGCAGCTCGGGGCCTGCGGCTCAGGCTTGCCTCCCGGCACCCATTCGCCATTGACGTACTTCCAGCGGTGATTGTCTGCAGCCACAAAGTCCAGCAAGAAGGAGTACATGGCGTTGGGGTCGAGTCCGGACACGCTGGCCTTCAACACCGGGAACATTCGCCTGCAGGGAGGAGACGCAAGGAGCGAGGAGAGGCGGGAGGAGACACGGGCGGCGCGGCCTCTCCGGCCAGGCCTAGGCGGCTGACGTCGAAGCCCTTTCTGCCCAAAAGACAGACCCTCCTCCGCCCCGAGTCGAGGAAGCCTCGCCATGCCTGGATGCTGTCTAGAACCCAACCTAAAGGAAAACCCGCTTCAGTTTGCAGCCCGCTTTGCGGCTGCTTTCACGCTAACATTTCATTGGAGCGCAGGCGATGAACTCCTTGGGTTGGATTCCCAAATAAACATGCACTGGGAGGACCTGGCGGTTAGTTGTATTTCTAAACCGGGGAGGGGATTCTCATCTCACCCCCTCGAAAGGAGGCCTTTGAAATCGGTGAGCCATAACTAGTGACTAGCAATAATTTGGAAGGAGGCTCCTCCCTGGCCAAATGACATCTTACGTGGATTCTATCTTTTTGTCTCTTAGGAATAAGCAATTTTAGAGATCAGATGCAAATGCTTTAAAAGGTACCCCTGTAGGGTATGGCCAACCAAAGCCATTCTTTGTTCTCAGGTTGTGGAAGTAAATTCTTCTGATTTGGTCGTTTTGAGGGATGCACTTTGATCCTCCCTTTTTAATTTCTTTGATTTGGGAGAGTTCTCTCTGCTTTGGGGAAATTCACTTGCATGTTAGAGACACAGGTTCGCAGACTTACAGCTTTGGATTACAAAAAGGGAGAGTCTGGGTTACAGCTTCCTTTTTTTAAGTAGTCTTCCATTTGTTGTCATTGCAAGCTTTCATAAACAGGCTAGAAGGCCCACAAAACCTTTTTAAATGGAGACATCATGGCAGTTCAAATTAGTCATGGAATGGAAGTTAATTTTCAGGAAAGAGTGATGCGAAAGATGTTTATTTAGAACTGAAATTCTACTGATATCACAATAAAATCCTGTACCCCACTAGGAAAACTTTTCTTTTCCTCTCCTGGGAAAGCTAATCTTTATATATGCAATTTATTGCCAGGGAGTTTCTTCAAAAGGCATATGAAAAATCTAATTTGAAAAAACATCACTGCAAGCAGCCAGATGGCTGCCTTTGAAAAATAACTTTCTGCATTTCCATGAGGGAGGATCTCATATCCTGAGTGGAAACCTCCTTTACAAATAGACTGGACAGGATTGCTTAGGTTAAGGACTGCAAGAGCAGAGGAAGGGGAAGGGAATAAAGACTGGGAGGCTACAGGATGACTGGAAGAGACCAAGAAGAGGTGTTAGTGGTCAAGGGGCAAAAGAGACATTAAGAGGGTATGTCCCAAAAAAAGAATAGGACTTGGGAAAGATAACTGAGGGAATTTCCTCGTTAGCTACTAAAAGCAATTGGGAGCAGAAGGCTTCAGATGCTTGGGTGACTGATTTTCTGAAATCCGGGGCAACAATTAAATGAACATAAGAGAAAGCAAAGTGGGAAAGGAGGAAGTAGCCCTCGGAAACAACCTGAAAACATCAATACATTTCTCTGTCTTTCTCTTTCCTCCTACCTGCCATTTTTGGTGACAATCATCTCATTGGTGAGTTCTTTGAAGCGCAACCACAGTTCACTGTCCTCCAGAGTGACTCGCAGCTCCCTCTCGGTAGGATCCCCCTTTTCTCTGCCAGCTTGTAGTTCATTCTCCACGGCGCTTAGCAGATGATCCACTTGATACTGCAGACTCTTTCCTGAGCTGTCCGTGGTTGGAGAACCCATCTTACTGGCCACCCACCAAACCCCCTTTAATACCAAGATCCTTCTCCAGCTTTTTGGTACCCGGGAGCGCTCTGCCTTGGAGAAATTGTCAGAGGAAGCCGCACAACAAGCTGTAGTGAGGGAAGTTAAAAGCACCCTAAAAGTAGGTGGTGGGCGTGGGACAGGTTTGCAGTTTGGGGGCAGAAGGGTTAATTCCACTTGACCTCTCTGGTCCACGCCACTTGAAACAAACTAAACTAGTTAAACGGGGGAGCAATTAAGCCCCTGGTATAAATATCCTTGTGACATCACAATGCCAGTAGGGGGCTCACCTGATTGGAGGACAGTCTCTTTGATGTATCTGTCCCGCCTACCTGATTGGCTCCCTGCGGCCATATCAGAACGAAGCCCAGGGAAAGCCTGTGATGTTAATTGCAGCCAGTGGGATTAAACGCAGCTATTTTATGTAAATCTGCCCCCAAATGTTTGCACCTCTATCAAAGCTGCCAGGCTAAAGTTTCAACAGCCAAAGGAGGAAATGGCCCAGGTCAGTAGAGACTCTACATTCACATTGCTTATTCCAGTAGCACCATTTACCCATCCAAAGATGTGTCTTACTACTCCTGCAAAGAGCAGGACGGTCTGGATGAAATCCTTGTGGGTAGGAGTATACCATGAGAATGTGAATAGCGATGGGTCCATCACCCCAAGCTTTGGTCTCCAGTGACCGGATCTTATAAGCACACCTATTTGCATATCAAGGTTGTTCAGATCAGTGGGACTTTGATGTAAAATGAGCCACAACTGTGGCATGAGGAAAAATGGTTATTTACTGTCAAGAATCCATTTTAAACTTGCTGTCCATTTACCAAAGGAGACGGAATCATGGATACTTTATATTTGTGCCCAGTTTTAGAGAGCCTTGTAATGATACATTAGCAGGAATTCTCACATATTTTAAATGTGAAAGAGTGAAGGTTTTTTGGTCTCTTTAGTGCTAAAACCCTAATGGAATTAAAACTAACTAAAAGGGTAAATATTCTCTTTCCATAATAAAAAAAAACCCTCTCTCTTCCAAAGAGCTATAATTATAAATAAAAACCAATTAAAACTTGGTTTTCAAAACCAAGTACAAATATATAAGAGAGAGAGATGATACAGCAGGATCCAATTCTGAAAGAAAAACTAGGTATCAATCTCTGTAAATATATAGTTAAGTGATACGTTCCAGTGAAGCACAGTTTTGCAGCTTTATGGATGTGGATATTGGATAGGCCCTACATCTCAGCACTTTCTAGTTTTTATGGGGAACTTAATCAAGATTAAAGTTACTTCCTCCAACATTCTGTTATTTTATACTCTGAAACAGATTGGGAAACAACTAAGATATGTGTGCCCTCCACAACTGGAATAAATAATTGCTGTAAGTTGAATAACTTTGAAGTGTGCTCTGAACTTCAAGTCTGTATGACAGGCAACAGGGCAAGAAAGTTGACAGAGGCCTGGGATCAAAGAAATATTTCAATATTTTTTTAATTATTTCAAAAAATAGCTTGTAAATGTGCTCTTACTGCATATAATTTAACCTATGCTGGAAAAGGTAAGGAACCCAGCATAAATCTGAAGTCAGTGAAGCTGAAATCCAAGCTGTTTAGATAGAGACATTTCATCAGCTAACTAAGATAAAAGATAGGGACAGTCTTACAGATCTTAATAGATGACTTTACTCTAATTGCCTGGGGGAATATAATGTTATGGTAATTCCAGTCCTTTTCAAGGAAAATAGAATCAGTAGGGTTTGGGAAGTCTCTTTTGAGGTATCATATGTTTCCATCTCATTTCATATGCTTTTAACTACTGCCATAGAAAAAGGTAGCTAGAAACTTTTAATTCCAATCTACTTAAGAACATAAGAAACAAATTGGTAATCTAGCCAACTTTCTATGTCCTACTGTTGTAAACAAGATGCATTAAGGAAACAGAAAGACTTGGGGTGGGGGAAGATTGATATTTCTTCTCCACTTTTGCTCCCTAGCAGCTGGTGTTCAAGGTTGTCTGCCTGTGAATCCAAGGGCTAGGAAACAGACATCAATGCTTCCTTTGCAGTTGTCCAGTTCCTTTTTAAAACTCTCCTAATTGGTGGCCATCAGTACATCTGATGACAGCAAATTCCACGGGTCATCTATGCTTTGCGTAATCCCAGGGAGGCCGTGGGCTTTCTGAACAGATGTCCAGAAGCAAATTGGGATGGATGAGAGCAAACAAGTTGCAGTTTCATCCAAGTAAAATGGAGATGCCCAGGTGTGAAAATGGAGTGATCGGAATGGGTCCCTTTGAAGATGATTCAGAAACTTCGGCTAGTGCTAAGTGTGGTTTCCCAAATGCTTATGGGTGCTAAGCATCAAGATGTGTCACGCTGGTATTATATCAATTGTGCAACCTACATATTTGTTCCATGCCTGTTTTTTTGTCTTTTTAAAGGAATGACAATTTAAAATCTCATAATTGCTCACACACATTTAAGCTTTCATGGGACTGATCAGTAGGTATATTCAAGCTGGTGGGGTGTGAAAAAGGAATTTATTAGAGATGGGCCACTATTTGGAACTGAGAGTTATGTCTAGACATTGCTGATAGTGCTGCAGTTTCATAAATGCTTCTTTCCACATTTGATTAGGTGTTATTTTATTTTTATTTTGTTTAGTTTCAGAATGTTTTTAACTCTTAGGCTTATGTAAATGATGGTATCTTTTATGTGGTTCTCTAAGTGATCAGAATTTTAAATAGTCTGGTTTTTCCATTGGCTGTATGTATTATACCTTGATATTCCTTATTACCCATTGCTAGTTATTTTGAAAAAAAAAACAACCCTCAAAACAATGTCATAAAGATCTTTTCGGTAAAACCGATCATCCCAGAAAGAAAGAATTGAGCTTTTGTACATCACTTTTTTTGTTTAAGAGTTCAAACGGTCGAAAGAAGAATGAGCTGTATAGGATAGGAGGATATATATATGCCCAGGATAGGGTCCTGGGCATATGTATTTACTGGGAAAATCCTGTCCTCCGTGGAACTTAACTTCGGAACGAACGTAGATGGGAGAAATAGCAAGGTTGCAGTCCTAAGCAGGTCGCCTCTCTGGAATGAAGCGGACTCTGTGCCAGAAGGCTGGTCGCATAGTAAGAGCGATCCATGGTCCTCGGGATAATCATTTCCGAAGATGCTGAGAAGGCCGACCAATATTGCGCAGCGGCTGAACTGGGAGTCGCTTCTGTTTTGATCCGACGCTGCTCCCGTTTAACGAGATCTTTATTGTTCTTCCAGAAGCCCAAGCAAACCATTTCCTGCCCATTGTCACCTCTCGCTCCCAACTCCCCCCCCCCGCTCGGCCTCATCCTCCTTCTGGTCAGAGGTTCCCACCGCAAGGTAATAAAGTCGCCCCTGCTAAGAACCGAAACGGCGGCGGCGGCGGCGGCGATCCGACAGTTCCACCCGGATTCCTCTTTTGGGGCTGCTGCACAGCTGAAACGAAGCCTCGGCTTCGGGGAGCGCCCAATCTCTAGCAGCTGGCCTTTTTATTATTATTATTATTATTATTATTATTATTATTATTATTATTATTATTATTATTATTATTATGGATCATCGCACAGTCAGCCAGATGTTCAGACTGGATTTGGCATTTTGTCTACCTATCGAGTCCTTACCCGGGACCTGGGATAGACAGATGTGGATGTTTGATGGTATTACAGATATTGTCGCAGTTCCTATTATTATTATTATTATTATTATTATTATTATTATTATTATTTTGAGAAATAAGCCCAAGGGGTTGCTTTTCGGTTGTAAACCCGAGCTCGCGCGATGCACAACATCAGCCCACCCTGTTCCCACGTTCACCTTTTAGCCTCGCTCGTGGGGGCTAAAAGACGAGGGCGAAACAGTCCGTGTGTCAAACGACTGGCTTGAATAAACCCAGAGTCCGCGAGCCCTGGCTTCGGACGTCCCGCCAACCTCGTTTCAGACCAGCTGCGTGTTTGTTGCTCTTGTTTAAAATACCGTAGAGATGCGCGTCACGATGTTTATGCCAAGGGGAGCGCTAAGGAGTTTCTTATCTAGCCCCCATCCCGGCGAACAACAGAAGTCTAGACGGGTCTACTCTGACGTAAACTCTGTTAGATTTCAGGAGGGACCTGTTCCTAAAGAAGATAGGTAAATGATTCCCACCCAAATTTATCTTCAAAAAGACTTGGCGATTGTTTTGCCAGATGCCACTGTAAGCTGCACTTCACGCTTGATACGGCAGCACTTCTGCATTTCTCTTGCAGGGCCTCAAAGTTGGCACGCTCTCAATCTCCCCCACAGGACAAACTGGGACCGTCCAAAATTTTTCTAGCAAAGGCAAATCGTAGTTAGTGACTGGTAGGATCAATATGAACCAGATTAAAACTAAAAAAAAAATCCCGGAGAGGGGGGTTTCACACTGTAACAGCCCTAGGCATGGTTAGCCATCTCCCTTCTTCCGGTGTCCTCCTCCCCCATCACAGTCTTTTCCCAAGAATTCTTTTCACGTAGGATGAAAGAGTGGGAGGTGGGTAATTCCTCAACAGTTTTGAGGAGAGACTTAACAATCTTCTTAAATAACCCCCAACAGACTGGTTCCTCATTGTCTTAGCTCAAAGTTCCCCGGAATTCAGGGGAGAAACTCAGCAACAGCTTAAGCGAAACCCCATTTGGATTCACAGCCTGTTTCGCGAATCCAGCCCAAATGGTTTGTAAAGCATAGCTTTAGGTGGTGTAAGAATCCAGACATAGAATCTCTGAAGAAGCATATGATAGTCACTTTAGCCCACTTAATCTGGTTTTATTTGGTTGTGTTCACGGCACATGAGTGGCTAATTAGTCATGGCTGAAATCAGTTTTCAGTCATGCCTTTATCACAGCAAATGGGCGAAGCTCAGATGGTTCTCAACTAGTTTGTACACTGCCACTCCAATCTGGGTGGGGTGCAAAGGTTGCCCACCCGTGCAACTCCTTGGAAGAAAGTAATTTGCTTTTCACTGAGGTTCCATCCAGGTTCCT